CCACTTATCGCCCCAAGTATCCCGCGAACCAAGAAAATTCACTGATCTGGGCTCAAAATTTCCACAATTTTTGGCTCCGCCACCCCTCCCCCACGAGTAACTTGTACTTCAGATGGCTGACCGTACCACACTAAAATACCTTCCAACGCCCCTGCAATACATACACACTTTGTTTATCAGTCCGTAACTTTGAAAAGGTGAGTAACATACATTTTGATGAGGAGAGACCATACATACCGTATTATCACGTCACTGTTTCCACATAAACTGACAAAAGAGTACTGTAATACGGAAATTTCGGTGGAGATTCGTTTTCGGTTACTTCGGTACAGGTAATTTTTTACCTAAAATAAACGCGACCTAAACGTCAATATTGCCACACCACACAGAATACAAAATGCATTTTTGGATCTGGAAAGCTGATGTTCTGAAATTTTCGCGCTACCGAACCGATGATTTTGGGAAACACTGAAAATATTACACCACCGAAAATTCCCGGTTTTACAGCAGTAGAATTTCAACTGAAACCCGTCCAAATGGTGCCCGGTGGACCGATGTGCCCGTAACTTCGGGGTCCGGATAACCGAGGTATAAGTGTACATACACACCCATGCAATCATTGCACAGAGTGAACAAGAAGACCAACGAGTCCAATCGTGTCACCGGCCACTCACAGCGTGTTCCGTGGGCAGGAGAGTGCAGATGTCCAGTGCTCGCGACTCACGATCCGTTTTACAGGCCAACTGTACACAATAGACACATGTATACACACAGGCACGAAAGTGCACGGACACGTACACTTATACAAACATGCACACACACACACGCACACACACTTGCGCACACACATACACATACACACACGCACACACACACACACACACACGCGCACACACACACTCGCGCGCGCACGCGCACACACACACACACACACACAGGTATATACCCGAACACATGATTGAGCACACACTCACACACAGCATGCATAGTGAAAGTAACTTGCAGCCAGGAGAAAAGAAACTGAACAATCACCTGAGAAATCTACACGCAACGGTTTAATCTAGCTACAAACAGTGTGGTTAACATGTGGCACATGCATTGTAGATCACTGCTCTAGTTCTCCACACATGGCTCAGCTACACATGGTGTTGCTAACATGTCACACATGCATGTGTGGATCACTGCTCTACACACATGGTGTGGCTAACATGTGGCACATGCATGTGTGGATCACTGCTCTAGTTCGCTACGCTCTCGGCCACACTCACCGCAAACAGTTTCATCAACGCCGCAGTCTCCTCTCGCCTGCACAACTCCACTGTCTCCTGCTCAGCCGGGTAGGCAGGGTTGCTGTCAGACCCGGCAGTTGTGCTGTGTAGGCGAAGATACTCCATCTAATCAAGATGGGGAACACACAGAGAAAAGATCAGGGATGCAAGAACCAGCGCTTAGTCTGAGTGGTTGTGGGCTTGCCTGGGAATCACAAGGTCCCGAGTTCGAGACCCGCGCTGGGAGCAGGGAGCGTGTACTGGGCTAACAAATGCGGTGATGCATGCGTGAACCACTTTACATGCAATGAACTGCGCCGACACCCACGGCCAACTGGGTACTAGTACTCACTACTTGGGGTGAGGCCTCACCTCGAGTTGTGCTTTCTCGGTGGCCAGCTCACAGACGGGCGGGCTGAAGTCCAGTACGGCAATCACTGGACGAGGATTACACGGCGGGTAAGTCGCATCCTTGCAATGGACACATCTACGCGGACACACACACACGGACACACACACACACACGCGCACACGGACACACACACACGCACACACACACACACACACACACACACACACACACACACACACACAAACACACACAATGCCACCATGTCTCGAAATCCACAGCAGCACGGAGCAGTGCATGATTCTACCGGTACTTTCTAACACCACTGGTTCATTGCTACAGTTGAGTGCAAAAGACTATGTACCAACATGTATACTAGTATAGGATACTGTAGAGGCAGAAAATTTCGTCGGTCAATAATTCCGTCCAACTCCTAAGAAAGAGAGTTCGTCCGGTTGTAAATTTCGTCCATGTATCATAAGAGCGTATTGAAAAGCTGGAAAAATCGACATTAGTCCGGCATTTAATTTAGTCCAAAAGCTCCTTGGACGAAAAAGACGATATTATTTTCCAGACGAATATTTCTGCTTATACAGTACTCCATGTGTGCAGTGGGTCAATAATTCCGTCCAACTCCTAAGAAAGAGAGTTCGTCCGGTTGTAAATTTCGTCCATGTATCATAAGAGCGTATTGAAAAGCTGGAAAAATCGACATTAGTCCGGCATTTAATTTAGTCCAAAAGCTCCTTGGACGAAAAAGACGATATTATTTTCCAGACGAATATTTCTGCTTATACAGTACTCCATGTGTGCAGTGATGCGGATTAGCACATACATGTACAAACTACACACTAATCCAGCCACCCCCAGGGGAGTTCTTTTA